ACGATCTCTCGAGTTTTATAAAACGATCTCTCGAGTTTTATAAAACGATCTTCGAGTTTTTATAAAACGATCTTCGAGTTTTATAAAACGATCTCTCGAGTTTTATAAAATGATTCTCGAGATTCATAAAACTGTTGCGTTTACGCGTTTGCGGGGAATTTTGGCTATTGATTCCGTCGTACCGATTTTGACCCCAACATATTTCATCATCAAAAACATGTGGCGGATAATACATGTGATGCGTCAAGTATGAATAACGTTGGTCGGACAGCTTCTGCAAATAACTATTGGGAGTCTAATAATGCATAGGTATGATGGTGTCAAAAAAAGTCTCAAAGCTAATGATATCGTACATATTATGAGAATGGATCATGGATGTGAGATATCTAAATCATTAGCTTGAGATGCTCGTGAGTATGCAGTTAATGTGGTTAGAGGTATTCCTGAGCAGAGCTTTGGAAAAATTCTTAAATACTTGCACATGCTGAAAGAAGGTAATCCAGGAACACACACTGTTTATGAAACCGATGTTGATGGTAAATTCAGATTTCTCTTCGTTTCGTTTGGGAAATCAGTACGAGGTTATCACACTGCAATGCGAAAAGTTGTTGTTGTTGATGGGACATTTTTTAAGAGAAAATACAAAGGGGTATTACTTGTTGCGACGACTTTAGATGGAAACTCCAACTTGTATACTATTGCATTTGCGGTTGTCGACTTGGAAAATGATCGTTCATGGGATTGCATTTTCAGACAACTACAGGTTGTTGTTCCGGACGAGCCTTCTCTTGCTTTTATGTCGGACAGAAATAGCTCACTTTGTAAAGGGCTTGAGAATATGTATAATGCAAATCTCTTTCATTTATGATTTAAGAAAATAAAATTATTATTAAACAATGTCTTTTAGTTTTTTTATGATTTAAAAAAGGAAAATTACTAATAAATAATCTTTACAATTAGTTTTTTTTTTAGGATTTAAAAGAAATTATTAGCAAATAATTATTTCATTAAATATTAAATAAATTGTTTTAATTGGAATTTTTACAATTCGTTATTAATATCATTACATATTTTACAGTTTATTTTTGTTAGTTAAACTTGCATTAGTATTATGTTTATCATCAATTTTTGCAATTTTTCAAATATTATTAATTAAATTATATAAATATCTTTGGTCAGGATTAAAAAAAATAATAAAAAAATTCTCTTTCGCATTAGATTAAAACAACTATTTTATAAATCACTTTTATTAGGATTTTAAAAACAAATATTGTTAAAAATCTCTTAAAAGTTTCTAATTAACATTTTCGAGACACATGACAATATATATTATAAGATTGGGACATGTGTTTAGTTTTTATCATAAATACAATTTTCATTTTTAAAAATATTTGATAGAATTTTTTATTTTTTTTTAAATTCTAAACAAAACATCATTTTAAAAGGCTATTTGACTGTAATTTTATTTTTCTAAAAATATAGTATTTTGCTTTGAAATACTAAAGAAAGAAAATTATCAAAAGAAAATAGTAATTTTAACAAAAACAAAAAAAGTATAATACATTTTTCTTTTGCTTAGGACTTAGAAAAGGAAAATTATGTTCACTAAAAATGTCATATGGTTTCTTTTATGTTTTTAGAAAAGGAAAATTACTATTACACAATCTTTTACAATTAATTTTTTTGTTTAGGATTATTAAAATAATATATTTTAATCTATTATATAAAATAGATTATTTTAATAATTTTTTAGGAGACCTGAATTGAGAAATGTGCCTAGGCTCCTATTTGGACTGTGAGATGGGTGGAGCTATTGGCTTGAAAGTTCATCTGAAAGAACCTCTTGCTTGGGAGCTGGGATGGTCATATCCTTGTGGCTACCATTACATTCTATGATTGGTGAGACTTACATTGGACCTAGGTGTTGCAGTGCTATAAGAACCGTTAGACTCAAGTGTTGGTCTACTATGATTGGTGCTCATGGTTTCACTTCTCAAGAAGGTTGACAAGCTCCAAAATTACTGTGATGGTGACAATAACTCATGTCAAGAATGGTGATGAACATGCTCTTGCCTCCGCACCACTGCCTTTGTCCCTCGAATTCAGGTTTAGTACAGGTGTTAGATCTTCTTATCTTTGAGTCTCATGATTCAGAGCCTATGTTATATAAGAAAAAAATATATCTTATGTAAAAGCTTCACTATTGTTACTTGAGAATAAAATATGTTACTTGGAACAAGGTTTTACAAATCTGCAAACATAATCATGTTCTTCTCACATCGAGACATACAATTCTATTTGTTAAATCAATGAACAATCACCAAAACACATGATAACCCAAGCTCTGATCAGGTAAATAATTAAAATATTTTATGATATATACCTATGGCTTCACTTCCAGAGAGTACTCAGTTCGTAGGATGAGTTGTTTGAATTCTAGAGTACCCTCATGAAAGTCCAAATAAAAGAAGATAGTTTGAATGAAACTTAGATTATTCAAAGTAAGAAACAAAGTAAATCAAAGAGATTAAGAACTCTGTCATACAATGTAATCTATCTCGTTTCATTTATTTTCTTTACTTCCTCCTCTTTCTAAAGATCACATCTTCAAGATAACTCATGTGGTGGCCACAAGTGGGCAGATTATCAATTGGTCAAAGGAAACCTTAAAGATTTCATCTTTGCTGAAGTTTTCACCATGAGTAGATCTAGCATTCAGATAATTCTCACTATTCTTATCTTTTCGGGAGCGTCCACAAAGTTGATTGTATGCATAGTTACAAAGTGTGATAGGAAAGAAGTATACCTCAAAACATTTGCTGCAAACTTAAAATGAAATATTATGAAAAAGCTGAATGAAAGAAATAAGTAAAAGAAAAGATTGAATATCCACTTGCTTCTCCAATATATGTGTATTTTGGTTCAAATACATGAATGAAACCAGCAATAGAGTGATCTTGTAGTGAATCAAGAACTTTTTTTAACTATATCCAAGAAGACCAATTCTCCAATGTAACATTGGTTCAAACCATGCTGTGGAAATACAAATTTTGTGCACTCAATTATATTCTTCTCTTTCAATATCTTTCCCTCTTACATACTCCAAGCCCTAATGAATACCCAAAGAAATTGGTTTGAATAATTGGAACAGAATCTTTAAAACTAGATGGGTACATAAATTCAACTTAGACTAAAAATGAAATACTTAGCTAAATTAGGACAATCAACATTGTTTTCAAGGTACTTTAAGTGGTTTGAATTTCATTTGCGGCATTTAGATTTGGAGATTTTCATATTACTTTAGCAGTGGTTTGAATTTCATTTGAGATATTTAGATCTGGAGATTTTGTTATATCAATTTAGAAGTGTCATATATTTTATGAGTCTTTAATTATATGGAGTCATGTTGTTGAATATGAAAATTAAGTTAGAGTAATGATTTTGATTTTATGTTTATAATATTAAATTATTGCTCCCAATCTTTACAAATGGCCTCAACTTGACTTATGAGTTTCCTATAATCTAAGCTTATTATGATATTAAATGTGCTACATTATTTCTAATCTTATGTCATGTAATCATTTAAGTTTTCAAAACAATTTTATGCATGAGAGTTTATTACCTCTAGATAATTCCATTTGAATTATTTATGGTATTATTATTATTATTCTTTTATTTTGTTAGTCTATGGTTTCAAGCTCTTATTGTATTTTGAATCTTTAGGTAAACATTTTTGGTAGTTTAGATAACCCTTTACACGGCATAATATGGGCCATGTATTCACTACTAATGAACAGTGAAATGTTTTCATACTTTTACACTCTGAAAGTGGAGAAGTAGGCCCACAACACATTTGCTGCAAAAAAAGAAGTTAAGATGAATTCTTATGAACAAGAAAAAGAACAAGATATAAAAGAAAAAACTGAATTATTCACTTACATCTTTAATAGAAATGTAATCTGGTTCAAAGATGGGAAGCATCCAACAACAAGGTGTTTTTAAAGCGTCTGAAGAACATCTTTGACAGTAGTCAAGGAGACCACATCTCCAATGTAACCGAGGTTAGACCCATTGTTAGGAAGTACTTATTCTCTGCAGTCAACTTCAAACGAACGAGATTGTTCTCTTTCGATACCTTTAACTCCTACATGGTTAAAGGCTTTAAGAAGATCAATAGAATAGCAAAAGTGTGTCTTGTCTTCATTCTTCTTTTCTTCAGAACGCTTATGAGGATCTACAAAATCCATTAGGTCTCGACAAGAGTATTCCACCTTGGCGGTGTCATACTGACAGATGTGTCTCATTGCACTCACAAGCTCAGCAGTAACAAATTCCCCACATATATCTACGGAAAAGAAGTAGAAGACAAGGTCGTTAAACAGTAAATAAACATTATTCAGAACTTTTGTAATAAAATTAAGAGAATTACCATGATCAAATTAATCGTTCAGAGGTCCCATGATTTTTACCCATCGATATTCTGTCACCAGTATGTCTCCTTTCTATTTATTAAAAATAAGAGAGATTGCAAATTTTAGTCGCTTATTGAAAATAAGAGAGATTGCAAATTTTAGTCCAGTATCTTTTCTTTCTTTTCTAACTGGATATATAGATAGAAGAACCTCAAAACATACCTTAGCGACTTTTAAATAGGCAAACTGGATTTGATTGTGGCATTCTACAATGGTGATATCCGATATTGGTTGTGCAGCTAGGAGAAGTCTCAACTTCTTGATTGGGACATATCTTGTCACTTCAAGAAAGAATTTCCAGGATTGCGGTGAGGCAGGTGCAATTTGTTTCTTACTATCAAAGAGGCATTCTTTTAGTAAAGGGAAGTGTTTTTCTGATGGTATAAATCTGCACAAAAAGTAATTAAGGTAATTAGCTCAGTATTTACTAACCAAAATTAAAACATTTTAGAACTGAAATTTGAAAACTAACACTGAAAAGCTTCTTATTGTAGTCCACAATGTTGATTTTATTCATAGTTAGAAATGTGAAAGTGGAGAAGTAGGACCACAATACAGTTGCCGCAAAATTAAAATGAAATGTTATGAGAAAAATAATTAGAGAAAGAAATAAGTAACAATATTCTTCTCTTTAAATACATTTCTACTCTTATATACTAGTCTTGATGAACACCTAAAGAAGTTGGTTTTGAATAATTTTCTTTATCTTTTATTTTACTAGAAACTTTGAAATAACAAAGATATGGTGCTGGCAATGCACAAAAGTCGAACTAAATATTGCATACAATTTGTGAAGTCTCAGTCTCGAGAATGATTTGGACTGAACCCAAAATATGGAACAGAATTTCCAAAACTAGAATGAGTACATGATTTCAACTTAAACCAAATTTAGTTGATCTATGACGGTTGACATTGTTTTCAAGGTACCTTTAGTGGTTTGAATTCATTTGAGCTATGAGATTTTTATATTACTTTAGCAGTATCTTATATTCTATGAGTCTTTAGTTTTATGGATTCATCTTATCAATATGAAAGTTAGGTTAGAATAATGATTTAGATTTTATGTTTATAAGAATTTAATTATTGCTCATAGTGTTTACAAATGACCTCAACTTGAGTAATGAGTTCCTGTAATCTAATTTTGTTATGAAATTAAAAGTGATACATTTTTACTAATCTTATGTCATGTAATCATTTAAGTTTTCAAAACATTCTTATACATGAGAGTTTTTTACCTCTAGATAATTCCATTTGTATTGTTGTTAGTATTATTTTTTATTTTGAGAGTCTATGGTTTCAAGCTCTTATTGTAGTTGTTTTGGTTATAGAATCTTTAGGTAAACGTTTTTGGTAGTTTAGGTGACCCTTAACATGGCATACTTGGCCCATGTATCCACTACATAATGAACATTGAAATGTTTTCAACTAAATGTTTAAGAGATTAGTTGTTTTTTTGTTAAGTTTCTTCCTTCTTTTATTTGATATTTTCTGTATCGAACAACACATAACGAATCCATGTGGATGATTCTTGATGATGAATGTGGAGTGGAGAGTGTGGTGAAAACCAACAGAGTAGAGGAGAAAGTGGTGATATCCAACATGGCACATCTATTTCTACAACGTCAAAGACTCATATAACTTATCTGAGCTTAATCTTCTCGGAAGATATTTTCCTTTTCCACATATAACACAAGTGAAGCCATGCTTGAGGAAATTGAAAGAGTGATAGTGACACCATGTTACAAAAAACAAAAACAAATGTCTTTTCTTCGGTTTGATGAAAATGTCACCAGTTATGCTCGTATGAATGAACGTCACCATGGTACTTGGTGTTCTGTTTCTATATCAATATGATCATTCTCGTTTCTTACTACATGGAGAATCAACGACAGGATGAGAGGAATCCTTGTTGATTTAGGTTTGATACACACAACAACAAAAACATAATCTTCTCTGGTTTTGTTTCTTGGAGATGGTTTAGCAACTGGACCATTGTTTAACTGTGGATTTGTACAGGTACATTACGAGTTTGAGCTGATGGAAGAGACTTTTTACCTCACAATCAATCTCATCGCCAGGTTTCTTGTCGTTCATCATCGTGTTGCTTGTTTCCAATTACGAAGAAGTAATCTAAGTTCCTGTTGTAGATGATCTCATACTGATCTCGAACAAGGCTTACACGAGGAGAGACGTTCTTGACATGGGAAATATGAATGATCATAAATCATGGATATGCTTTATGCTTGTGAAATTGTCTGATGTGTTTGTTTTCTTGCAGTTAGGAGATGCTTTGTCTAGTGGAGTTAGGAGATGCTTCAGTACATTCCTTTTAAGTTAGCTGCTTCAGCGATAGACACTGCTCAATCCACGCTTAAAGGATTCGAGAACTGGAGCAAAACCTCGAGTTCTACTTCTACACATGCTAGACGGAAGCACAGCTTATGTAAGAAGTAAGAACTCACCTAATTAAGAAGCTTTTTTAGTATTATAATTTTGAAAATCCCATCACATATTCTGAGATTGTTTTGATGATCAATTATACAGGGAATGTTCGAGAAAGATGGCTGGTTTGCATCACAAGGCAAGGGAAAGGGAAGTTAACAGGCGTTCACAAGAAATACAACAGATCCAGGTTTGGTTATACTGCAAGAACTGAACCGAATTGGTTTCTTCTGCTCTAAACCAACGGTTTATGTCACATGGAATCTATGATGTATTGACCAATTTTAACACTGAAGGGAAAGAAAAGAGCGACATAAGTTTTATAAGTGGGAAATTTCAGAACACATTATCTTCTCTTTTTTTATTCATTCTCATTGCAAAGAAACCAATCATGCTCTTAAGTCTTAAACTCCACCGTTCCGAACACGGCACACCTGTGGTGTTCTTGATTTCACTACATTTTCCCACTTCTTTTCAAAATTCCAACTCAGTCTTTTATTTTAAAATATGAATAAAATAAGACTCTTAGTAAACCTAAAACACATAACTAGTCTTTTTCATTCTCTTGAATGTTTTTTTTTTCTCTTGAATGTTTCGTTGCTAGAGAAACAAAACTGGTTAGTACCATGTATCAAAAATAAATAAATGTCATCACCAATATTCAAGGTCCAACAATTAATAGTCACACAGGGAAAGAGACAACACAAAAATAGTACTATACTCTTTTGTCAAAAAAATAGCAAGAATAATATCAAAATTCTGGTGGCCCAGTATTTAGATTAGATAATTGGTTCACTACATGTACTAGATTTAAAAAAAAAAAAAACTTTTGAATCAATAAGTTGTGAATGAAAAGATAGTGAGGAATTGTCTGTAATAATTTTTTTTTTTTTTTTTTTTGGGGTAATCATGTTAAAATTTCATACATTTTTTTCTGAGTTTACAGTGTTGCAAGCAACTTATTAGCAGAAACAAAAATATAAAAACAATCCAATACAATACAAAGAACTAGAATCAAGGTTGTTGGATGCAAGAGAGGTAGAACAGCAACGGTGATGGTTGGCGGATGTTGGTTGTGGAGGTAATGAGAGAATCCTATCACTCACCAGTCGATCAAGAGAGGACCTAATCTGAGCAGCTGAAATGGAGGTAGAAGTGAAGATTCGTGCATTTCTCTCCTTTGATTGGATAGTATTAATTAGTTCTTGAAATGATAAATATTTCACTACATATATTGTTAGAGTTGGTTACGGTACGGTTTGGTATAAACCGTATAGTATGAGAAGATATTGTAACTTGGAGGATAAGTATTGTTGTTAGAGATAAGTATGAGTCGATGGAAGTAGTGGCTCTCGAATCTCAGAGAATATGGGACGTGACAGACCTACCTAGAGGGAAGAAAGCGTTGGCTTGCATGTGGCTGTACAAATACAAGTTCAATGCAGACGGCACGATCGAGAGACCTAAAGCTAGACTGGTTGTGTGCGGCAACAGGCAAGTAGAGGGGGTGGACTATGATGAGACATTCGCTCCGGTGGCGAAGTTGACCATGGTTCGTACACTACTAGAAGTCTCAGCTGCTAAGAACTGGGAGATTCACCAAATGGAAGTGCAAAACGCGTTCCTTCACGGAGATTTAGAAGAGGAAGTGTATATGGAGATGCCACCTGGTTTCAACACAGACAAGCAAGGGAAGGTGTGTCGCCTGAGAAAATCGTTGTATGGTCTCAAACAGTGTCCGAGGTGCTGGTTCGCCAAATTGACGAATGCGTTGAAGAAGTTTGGGTTCAAACAATCTTACGCAGATTACTCCTTGTTCACATTCATTAATGGAGATAGCTCAGTGCGGGTACTAATATATGTGGATGATTTGATAATAGCAGGAAACGATACAAAGATGATGATGAAGTTCAAAGTGTACTTGAGTGACTGTTTTAAGATGAAGGACCTTGGGAAAGCAAAGTACTTTCTTGGCATTGAGATAGCAAGGGGACCGCAAGATATGTTCTTAACGCAGAGGAAGTACGCTCTAGACATTATAGCTGAGGCTGGGATGCTTGGGTGTAAACCCGTTTCAACACCTATGGAGCAGAACCATACACTCCTGTCAAATGAAGGCCCAGCGTATAAAGATCCCGCGAGATTCAGACGGTTTGTGGGAAAACTTGTGTATCTTGATGTCACCAGACCGGAGTTGAGTTATGCAATTCATGTACTTTCCCAAGTTATGCACAAACCACGTGATGTTGATACACTAAAATTGGATCTTTGTCTACTGTCAAGTTAACAGTGTAGTTGTAATATATTTAGATTCAATTCCAGAGGACCAGCCTACACTTTATCTTTATGGGATCAAAATATAGCTAAAACAAGAGGGGGTTTTAAAGGTAAAAGAAATAACTTAAAAGACAAGTAACAAACGAAGGTTGTTTTCAAGAGGTTTAAAAGCGCTAGTCTAGGGTTTCCTAGCGGGAAGGGAATTCGCTAGCCGAGCTGCTATTCAAGTTCAATATTCACGAGTCCAAACTCGGATCACTCTGTTTGAATCAACCCACTGTCGTGGTATTGAATACCTTTGCTGACTTGCTTGATACCTAAACTGTCGTTTGGAACAAGACAAGACAGCAAGCTTTAGAGATCAAGTCCGATAAGTTCACGAAACACCCTAATATCTACTCTCGCTGACTAGGGATGTTAAGCTCATTCAATTCGTATCAGATTATTAATCAACGGTTAGCTAAATCAATTAATCTTGGTTCATGCAACAAGTGATCAATTCGATGCAAGCATTAAGGTGAGAATATG